TGGTTGCCTCCTGAACAACCCCAACCGGGGCCAGGATCAAACCTGCAACCTAGTTATGTGCCCTTGACCAGGAATTGAACCTGTGACATTTTGGTCTGAGGCTCTAGCCACTGAGCCAAACCAGCCAGAGCTCAACCTTATTATTAATTAGAACAATGAGAATTAATCGACTACATTTACCCATCAAGAGAGCAAAAAAGAAAAGGTGTGATAATATCAAGTGTTATTCAAGATACAAAGATAGAATTTTCACATATTCCTTCCTAGTTTAAATGTAAGATAGTTCTACCAGTTTAGAAATCAATTTGAAAAGAAAGATTAGGTAGGATGTGAATATAATCAGGGATTCTAATTCTAGATAGAGACTGTAGCGAAAGACTAGCACATATGGTTAAGGAGATACATACAAGATTGTACTTTGCATCCTTTTTATTCTTGTAAGTCTGGACATTGGACAACCTACATGCCTGTCTAAAGAAAATGCATTAATTGTGGTATATCATACAATGGAATACCACATATCAAATGTAAAAAATGAACTAGAGATACACATTTCAATGTGGAATCTCAAATCATAATGTTGAGCAAACAAGCCAGTTATACAATTGTATTTTATTTATACAAAGTTTCAAAGTATGTGAAACTATACTATTTATCATCTGTGGATACAAATACATGTACAATTTACATAAAAACATACACAGAATGAGATTAAGGACATAATCTGCACTGGGTAGGTAAAGTAGGAAATGTGATCAGGGAAGTACACAGAAGACTTTAAATGTATCTGTAACTGTTTTTCTGAAGTAAAATGTCACAGCCATTAGTGGGTACATGGGTATTTGTTATGGTATTCTTTCTGACTTTGTATTTATTTGTAATAATTTATAACAAAAGGTATTTAAAAAGGAAAGGTAACATGAGTCAGATTACCTGAGGTCTAGTTCTGATTCTACCCCCCCCCTTTTTTTTTTTTTACTTTATCTTGGGTTCTATGGCTTTGGTTTTTTCCATTTGTAAAGACAGCTCACACCCTTCTGATTTCAAAACTTACTACAAAGCTACAGTAATCGAGAGAGAGTGGTAACAGCCTAAGGACAGACATACAAACCAACAGGATAGAACTGAGAGTCCAGAAATAAACCCTTACATTTATGGTTAATAGATTTTCATCAAGGGTGCTAAGACAGTTCCATGGGTGGTGCTAGGATAACTGGATATCCACAGGCAAAGGAATAAGGGAAAGATTATCAAAGACCATATATGAATATATGCATAGTGCAGGGACACAGACAATCATGTGGTGAAGGTCTGGGGTGAGGATGGGTGGAGGAGGGCAAAGAGGAGAAAATGGGGGACATCTCTAATCCTGTTAAAAAAGAATAAGGGAAAGAAAAGAGAAGCAAGAAACCTGGTTAGGTGGCTTTACCTAACTAGGGGGTCCAGGTGAAAGATGACCGAGTGATGATTGAGATGGAGAAACACGGAGAGATTCAATGTATATTTTGGAGGTTTCTGAAAGCATGTCAGACATGATGGTATACATAATTTGGATATGAACACTTTATTAGAAAGAATATAACTAACACATCAGACTGATGATTTACTGAATATCATTCCTTGAGATAAGATAAGTTGATTAAACTAAAATAATTAAGTAAATAATAGCTTAGGTGGTAAAAATCATAAAGCAAGTTTGGGATACGCTGTTAATAGATGTGATATCAGGCAGGGTAAATGAACAGGAGTAATAAAAAATGTTTTCCTGGGTTCCAGTTTGAACAACTGAGCATAGAGCAATGAGATAAAGAGCTGAGTCGGGGTTGGAAGACTTGAAGTTCAACTGTGGATAGTTTGAGAAGCCAGTGCGATGTCCATGATGTGCAGTTTGAAGGGGCATTTGGAATGAAGTAACTTCTATGGTCCTTAAATCCATGGGACAGATAAAATTGCTTAGGAAGAGAGAAAAGGGGGCCAGGAGTAAGCCCCGAGAAACTCCAAAACTTAGAGGTCATTTGAAAGAAAAGTTAGAAAAGGAGACTGAGGATAGGTTTATAAAGTGGGAGGAAAATTAGGAAAACATGGATCAAGAGGCCAAAGAGAAGAGTGGCTCAAGGAGGGAATGGTCAAGAGTGTCACATCTGCTGAGAGCCCGGAGGAGGAGGAGGAGGAAGGGAAGTGTCTGCTGGATTGAAATCTGTTAAGTCTTTGGTGACACCGACAGGTTTTAATGGAGGAATGGGAGCCGTACTTCAGCAGATTAAAGAGTAAATGGAATGTGGAGAAATTACCAAGAGTAAAGTTGTACCTCTAAGGCAGTCCCATTCTGTGAACCATTACAAAAATTACTGTGAGACTACAATTTTTTTCTTTCTGGCTTTCCTAAGTTTCCTTTTAATATTTTTCCAACAGTGTTTTGAACCTGTTAATTAGAACCAGTGATTCCTACAAATCACAGATCAGTAGTGCCAGAGGAGACATCTATTTTCCAATCTATCTTAATCTATATTGTAGCAATAGCCAATGGGCCAATGTTTAACCAAAGTACTTAGTCCTTTCTCTTTTCTTTACTTAATTTGGTTTTCTTATTGTATCTCATTTAAATTATTATGGTAAAGATTTTAGAAATTATTTTTGTAAGCAGAGCAGAGTGGGCTGATGTGGCAGATAAGTGTGATACTGGTTTGATACTAGTCTTTGAATATTACTAACTGATGCATGAGTAATGGAGTAAGTCCATCTTGCCATCTGGCTAACGTAAAATGGAAAACTAAGGTACTTGCCAATAAGAACTTCAGAACGAATGAATTCAATTAGGTTTAGGTCAGCAACACTTGATCACCACTCACCAAGTGTCTCTAGTTCTTAAATGCAGGTCCACTGTCAGTGGCAGGCGGAAAATTTCAAAATTACTCAAGGAACTTAGAAAAACCCAAAACCCAACAACAATAAAAAACAGATCCCTAGGCCTCAGCCAGAGATTCTGATGCAGTAGATGTGGGGTGAGATCCAGGAATCTGCATTTCTAAAAAGCTCCTCAGGATTTCTGATATACAGCCAGACTGCAGAAGTTGGTACTAAAGAGTCTAAACATAAAGGTGATAATTTGTTTTTAAGGTCATAAGATAGAGGTATGGAATCATGAAACTAGCACTTGGAGGACTTTTAGAGAACATCAAGTTGACCTCTCTCCCGACCCCAGTCAGGAAGATTAGAGTCCTGACTAGTTCCCAGGCACACTCGTCATAGCTAGATCTCTCGCCTTTGGGCATTTCTATTATACAGTGATACCTCGGTTCTCGAACGCCTCGGTTTTCGACCAAATCGGGATTCGAGAAACTTTTGTCTCGGAATCCGAACAAATATTTGGAACTCGAACTTCCGAGATGAGCCGAGTTGAGCCGAATGGCGTTCATTCGGCCCAGCGCGCCTTGCTTGCATCATCAGTGTGAGTGCAGAGAGAGAGTCACGCTTTGTGGAGTCACGCTTTCCTATTGGGTTCATTGCTTCGGTTCTCGAACAATTCGGTTCTCGACCGTCCTCCTGGAACGAATTATGTTCGAGAACCGAGGTATCACTGTATATGTGGTCCGCTCTTGTTTTTTAGTTACCTTGTATTAAGTAGGTCTGTACTTCAAGCAAATATGTTTTGTCTACAGGAACTAATTACTTTTTCTACTTTATTGTACCCATAAAAGTGGACAAAGTTGGAACTGAGTAATGCTTGCTGAAAGGAAATGTGCACTCTTGTCTACAGGTCTCTTCACAGCTTCCGCAGGTCCCTGTGACCATGAAGGACAGAGATCACAGCTTTTAAATCTTATCATTTCTCACAGAAGAAATGATTGATACATAACATGTGAAAGCAGGACCACTTTTTTAGGAAAAATTATTACTAAAAGAGTCCCTTTTCTTGGAGTCATTGAGTCAGGATAAAGTTTCTAAGTGATGGGTATCTATGACAGATAATTAAAAAGTTGCTTCAGGGACAAATGGACAGGGTTTTGGAAATAGATAGTGGTGATGACTGTACAACATGGTGAATTTAACTAATGCCATTAAATTACACTTAAAAATGGTTTGAATAGCAAAATTTATATTATACACATTTTACCACAATAAAAAACAGGGAAGTAAAAACAGTAAGAAAAATCAGTATGCAATTAAACTATTAAAACCAGAAATTAAAATAATAAAAAATATGCTACATATTGGAAGAATATCATCCCCAAATGTAATTTAAGGAACCTAAGGACCATAACAAGTATAGGGTAGGGGAATTATGCCAAAGAGGCAGCAGCATAAATAAATAACTTAATCTCAAACCAGTAGGATGAAAATATGATTTACCATCCTAACCAGGATACTTTTGAGAGGAAAGTGGACACAATGAATAATTACACAGGGACAACAGGTGTAGACCAAGACCATCCCAGGCAAACTGGGATATGTTACCCTACATATAAGGGCAACTGGGTTCTCAAGGTTGATGTCATGAATATAGCTTGGGATCTGGCCAAAGTACAATAGCCTGAAAACATATTCCTAAAGGACTCAAGTGGTCAAAAATGCAATCCTTTTTTCCACTGATTTTTAGAGTGGAAGAGAGGAAGGGAGGCAGGGGGAGAGAAAGAGAGAGAGAGAGAAACATCAATGTGAGAGAGACACATTGATTAGTTGCCTTCTGTAGGCTGGGATCAAACCTGCAACCCAGGACATGCTGTTGATGTGAGGGCCAATGCTCTAACCACTGGCCAGGGCTGAATTATATTTTGAATTGTACTCATAGGCACACTAAGGAATTTCTAAGGTGAATCATTACATAAATCTATATTTTTATACATTACATTACAACTCTATTAATATATGGATATATTCTTTTATACTTAATTTGACTATAGACAATTGAGCCAGAACATTTAAAAAATCATACTAGAATTATTTTTAAGCTAAAATTAATCTTAATGACCTATAAATAGGTAAACTCAAACAGTCCATACCTTACACGAGAAGCTCCGACTTGGGATGTTTCTTGCTAACTCTGATATCTTGGGTTTATTCTGCAGACACTTGGTTAGGTGATATTTTTTCAATTTTATTCTACTGTAATAATGATCAGCGAAATTACAGTGATTCAAATGCGGTTTCTGCATGCATTTCCCAAGGTGAGGAATACTATACTTCAAAGCTTGGAAAAATAATTTGCTCTTCTGATGCATGATATCAAAGTCCCTGGTTTATGCTCCCATTGGGGCTGCCAGCAGGAATGATTTCATAGGTATGATTATATAGTAGTGGGTTCTCAGAGCATCTAAGATCCAAAGTTCTTATCCCTCCCCTTCAGGGCCACGCACCCCTCAGGTTAAGGTATAACTGCAGACAGCTGAGAACTCAGGTTAAAAATATCGGAAAACTTGTATAAGTTAACGTTTCATTCAAATAATACTTCTTGGCAGATGTGACAAAAATGTTTCATTTGTAAAGTCAATCCTATCAGGTTCACACTATGCAGCACTCATTCTGGTACACATAGGGGCAAACTAAAACAAAACAAAAACACAACAAAACAGAAAACAACAACAAAAAAAACAAAATAAAAATTTGCAAATAAGTACACAGAGTTAATGGGGGCATCTCAGGAGCTCTGAGGGTTTTTAAAAGCAAAATGGCTTTGATCTTACATAAGTGAGAACATAGGGTATGTATATATATATATGGAGGATAAACTGGAAAAGACGAATTACTTAATAAAGGTGGAGGGGGGTATTATTATATGTTGAGTGTTTGCTACGTGCCAAATGCTTTTCCATACTTTGTCTTATTTAAACTCTGTAAGGACCTGATAGAGTAGCTATTACGATGTTCATTTTACTGGTGAGAAAACTGTGGCTCTGGGAAATTTAAGCAACTGCCCCAGGTGACTTAGACAGTAAGTAGTAGAGCAAAAAGTCCAAAATGGTTTGGCTTCAAATCCTGGACATAACGATTGGACTTTAACATTAAAAAGATATTTAGCTATTTAACTAAACAAACAAAACTACTCAGGATGCACAAATAAAATGTGAGACCATCTCTGGTTTCTTTTGGGAAGATGGTTCGTACTACCTTATCAAGGTAATTAAAACTAGTAAGTAGTTAAGAGTCAGAGAGACATGGGTTCAGGTCTTTACTCCTGCACTTTCTACCTGTGCCTCAGTTTCTTCATCGGCAAAACTGAGATAACGGTACCATTTACTCTATGGAGTTGTAAGAATAAAATGAGACAGTGCCCAGCACGTAGTAACCACTCAATAACTGGTGACTACTATTATTGGGATAGGAAAAATCTGGATATGCAGTGTTGAATGTCATCATTGAAGCATTCCACAAAATGCCCCTGGGTATCAAAGGCACAATTCTGCCTCTGATTTATCACAGCTCTGATCGGCTACCACGCCAACGCCCCCCTCTCCCTTCATCTCTGTGTCGCAGCAAAAGAATGGGCGAGTGAGAATAAGGGATCAGTAGCCGACACCAGCAAGATAAACAGAAATAAACAAATAACCTAAATCACTATATCCATGCGGGCAGCCTCAATCCATCCTTCATCCACAAGAAGACACATGCAAGGCTAGGGATGGGGGTGGGGTCATGAATGGGTGCCGGGGAGGAACTATGCGTTTTCCCGGTGAAACTCTCCACCCCAGTGATGAGGCGATTTGAGTGCGAGAGGGAGTGGAACACCATGTGCCGCGCAGTCAACGGCCATCAGTCAAAAAGCAAGGACCAAGGGATTAAGGGGTGCTGGGTGGGGGAGACAAGGGAAGAGGGAAGAGACCCCCAGCATACACTACCCATACGTAAGCGAAACGAAGGCCGTCTGGCTGTGGACGCCGAAAACCCGCAGCTCGCAGGAAGGAGCGGAGGAAGGTCGGCAGCCGCGTCCAGCCGAGGTCCGCTCCCGCAGCTTGCAGAACCACAGCCTACCCAGGGCCGCCCAGAGCGGGTTTGCAGCACGCCGCTCTACGTAACCGCAATCCAGCCCGAGCACGAAGCAGATTTCGCCATCTTTACTGTGGTCAAGGATGGATTTTTTTTTTTTTTTTTTTTTCCTTTTCTCCTCCTGGGTTCCTTAACCCGCAAAAATATAAATAAGCCTTTTGGTTCTTTTGTTAGTATTCCGAGATACAGATGAGGCAGGGGAGGAGAAAACAAAGAGGGGCAGCGTCCCGCTCGCTCTGCCACAGCGCCCTCACCCTCTGATCTGCCCTCACTCAAGGTGGCCACCAGCAAAATGGTGCAATGACGAGACCAGCGCGGGCCTGGTTGTCAAGGAGACGCGAAAACCGGAAATGCGGACTTCCGGGAGGGCTAGGGCCGTGGAAGGGAGGGTCGGCGTCACAGGTCCTGACAGGGAAGAAGTAGGCAGGTCCTGGCAGGGGAGAGTAGCTGTGGCGGCGGCTCGCGTGTAGGTGGCTCCGGCGGGATGGAGTCTCGATTCAAGGACGCCGGGGCCAGCGAGGCTGAGCGCGCCTCGGGCGAGGGCCGGGCAGGCAGCAGCGCGGCTCCGCGGCCCGCGGTCTCGTCGCCCTTAGGAGCCGCCCGGTGGAAGCTCCTGCGGCAGGTAAGGGAGAGTTACTGACCTCACCGCTGCCTCTGGTCACTCCCCTCGCTTGCATGGGGCGAGCGACAGGCGGCTACTCTCCCCTCCCAGTTTTGAGGGAAGCCACCTGAAAAGTGCCCCTTTGCTCCACCTAAGCGTCCCACCCAAAGGGAGGAACCAGGTGGAGCTGTGCGGGGAAGGGGCAGCCAAAGCCTGAGTTCCTGGGAAACTCAGAGCGAAGTAGAAAAATCCCTTTTTAGACAACTGTCGGCATCGGGGGGACTTTTCTCCTTGCTCGCGGGTCGGATTGGTGGGGCCACTGCTTCCCACCCCGTACCGCTCTTCTTTCCTGCGTGTGTTTTACTGCCTTAGCCAGGTTTCTTGTCCTTGCTTCTTAACTCCCAGCCTGATTCCAGCCCTAAGGCTGGCCCCTGCCTTGGACCTCGGCGTGGTTGACTGGCTGGGACTTGGACGTTGCACGCGTTGCCGCGGTTTCTTCCGTGACAGCGGAGAGTGCAGGGAGTGGCCAGCGGCCCGCGCCCCACCTGTCCCCGGGCTGCGAAAGTTACCGGCGCACCGTGCGGTTGAAGTGGTCGGCGAGATTCTCGCTGTCCAAGGTGGAGTAGTTTGTTTCAGGGCGGTTATCTCCCCGTACTTCAAGGTTGCTGCTATTGGCTCCTAAGTTCAGTCATGTGAAGGTTTGGCAGGTTTCTGATTTGACATCGCTGACTCTTTCCAGACTGCTTGAAGTGAAATCTGTTCTGCACACCAGTGTTGTGCCTCTGCCGGACGCTTCCTGCTGAAAACTTGACTCTGGAGGACGCCTTCCAAGTCTGGCGTAATTCGAGAAGAGTTTCCCAGCTATTGCCCTTGTCTTTGAGATGGTGCCCTTAGTGGTTTGGGGCTTATTTTGTTTGCAGTTACTTTGTTTGCAGAGTCACCTTTTCATTCGGGGGCCTTCCAGTGCTATCATGACATAACTCAAAGATCATTTCTTTGCTGATGCACTGAAAGTCTTTCCAGAGCTGGTTTTGCTGTTAATGTTACAAGTGGTATTATAGGATAATGAAGTGAATGCCTTCATAAATCATTATCATAGGAACTTTCTGTAGTGAGATAAACATCAGTTAAAGCCTGATTATGAAATTAAGGCCTTAAATTAATCAGCTGTTATTGTGATGACTTCAGTGATTCTTGGTATAGCAATAACTCTAGTTGACTAGCTCTTAAGTTCATTCTGAATTGCTGTCTGCATCAGACAAGTTTCAGCTATGGCTGCCGCTTGAACTCCCACAGGCTTCCTTCCACATTTAACGTTTCAGTACACATCTGTTCTCTGCATAAACTCTTTATCTTCTTCTCTACCTGATGAATGGCTGTTTATCCTTCAGTCCTCCATTTCAGTCTCCATTGTGAAGCCTCTCCTAACTCCTCTGGACTGAGTTAGACCATCAGCTCACTCTTTTGGTACACCACATATTACATTATTTTATGATCACTTGATCAGAGTCTACCTTTCTCACAAGAATGGGGTTTTCTCTGGGAAAAGATATTTTATGAGTCTCCAACCTCTGCACCTAGCATAAGGCCTGGCTAGATGGTTTTTAGTAGATGTTGTCAATTGTTCTGGGAAGTCTTAGAGTAAAACAGTCTTTAAAACAAGGCCCATAGCACCTAGTCCTCAGTGTGTATTTTATCAGCTAGTTATTGCTGAGTAGCAAACAAGTACAATATCACAATGGCATACAACAACAAGCATTTACTCTGTGCATCTGTGGGCCACCTGGGAGTTAACTGACAGGCTGTGATCAGCTGAGTGGGTCTGTGCTGCATTCTTGGTTCACATGGTTCTAATCCTTGGACCAGTTGGCTGACATGTTCTTATGGTGATGGCAGAGGTATAAGAGAGCAAACCCAACCACCAAAACATATTTTAAGTCCCTGCTAACATCCTATTGGCCAAAGTAAGATACTTGGCTAAGCCTAAGGTCAAGGGGCAGAGAAGTATACTCTTTTCTTGGAGGAGGCAAGGGAGGAAGATAATATTTTTCTATAATAATTGAATCTGCCATATATATTAAACATTTGCAGACATGTTTTAAATTAATGGACCATCTTTATGCATACAAAACTGGAGAACTGTGAGGAATCTAAACAGTGCTAGAGACATGCAACTCTCTCTTTCTTAAGGGACAGCTTTATGATATCTGCTTATGTCTGCTTGTTTTGCCCTTCACAATTCTGTCTTTCCATTACCCATCAGGCTCCGATTCTATCTCATGGCCCTTCACTTTAACTGTTCATTATTTTCTATATAATTAACATTTTTTAGAGAAACCCTGGTCGATCTAGCACATTATTTGATACCAGGTCACATGATAAATTACTGACTTGAAAAAAATATTTTTATTGATTTTTAGAGAGAGAAGAAGTGAGAGAGAGAAACATCAATTGGCTGCCCCTGCACACCCCCCACTAAGGAGTGAGCCCTAAACCTGGGCATGTGCCCTGACAGTAAATTGAATCAGTGTCCTCTTGGTGCATGGGTTGACAATCAACTGCTGAGCCACACCAGCTGAACTAAGTTACTGACTTTTGAGTCTAGGGCCCACTTTAATCAGATGAGGTTTGGAAGTCTATGGATCACAGGATGTGGATAATATTCTATTTTCCTCCTTGTTGGGTCTCATTACTTGATGGCAAAGGTGGCTATTGGCAACTACAGACTTTTATCATCTAGCCAGCTAGTGATCCAGAAGAAATGACCCTTTTCCCCAACATCCAAATTATTTCCTCCAAATGACTCTAATAGGCCAAGGTTGGACCAGTTGCTGTGCCCAGGAAAATGGTGCACATTGGCTAATCTGGGTCATCAGCCCATGGGTGTCAGGGAATATAATAACCCTACCATTATTACACAGAGTGAGGAGGAGCAGTTCCCAAGAGCAAGGAATGTAGGGCAGATGACAAAGTAGCAATGAACATTACATACTTACAAATACCCACAAAACGAACAATCATGCCTAGAAGTCTGAATACTTGGCCGAAGAATCTGATTAATGGTATATTTTACAGTACAATTTAAATGAAAGCAAGATGCTATATGTTTGAGACTATCGATGCTGAAACAGACAGCATGATTTCTGGAATAGAATTTAATGCAACTTGATTTTAGGCCCAGATCTGCCCCTAATTATTTGTATGATCATGAGCAAACTCTTTGGATCTCAGTTTTATCATTTGTAAATAAGGGAGTGGGACTAGATTTCTTTAAAACCGCTTCCATCTCTGAATGTTTTAAAGTGACATTATTTTCCAGAGTTATAAATCATTCATTTTCTAATCCTATTATTTTGTGTTTTCTTAGCAAAGGATTTGGTTGATTTAAAAACAGATTGCATATTGGATAAGCACGCAGAAATGTGTACCCACGTGAGATCATCACAGCACTCTTTATGATATAAAAAACTCTGATTTTTATAATATCAAAGAAATCTAAAACACCAGGTATAAACAGTATGTATAGTATAGCCCCTTAAAATTATTCATAGTTATTTGTTGCTATATGTATATAGATGGATGTTTAACAGTGTGCTCTCTCTGAATGGTAGAATTTTGACTGAGTTTTTACTCTTCAGTATTTAAACTTCTTTTATAGTGAACATGATTATTTTCAAACCATTTTTCATGTATTCTAAGATGCATTGTTTTAAATCTAACACCTTTGAAATTGGGATATATCTTTTAGTTGATGGCAAACAGATTGATGGGCAGTGTATTTTATATAACAGAAGAAAGAAAAAATGTTGAACCTTATAATCAATGATGTCTTAGATATGATGAAATATAGTCATGGGAAGGGAGGACTATTTTCTTAACTTTGAGGAAAAACACTGAAAACCCTTGACTACCAAAATAATAATTCCATGTGAGTGAGCAAATTGTTTCCTGAGCAATATTGCTATAGAGTAGAAGATCTCTTACCTGGGCTGGTTAATTGAGAAAGTTGGTTGAAGAGATGAATCATAAAAATGACACATATTCTAACGTGAAGCCATAATCTGAGTGCCAAATTCTTCTTGATATTTATAATAAACTCTCTAGACTTTTACAGTTGGCTTTCCACACTTAAATTGATAGTAAATTTTTAAGCAACTTACCTTTATCAAGCAAACTTACCTTTATCTTTGCAAAACATTCAACTTAGTTTTAAAACTTTTTTAAAATTGATTTTTAGAGAGGGGAAGGGAGAGAGAGCGAAATATTGATGTAAGAGAGAGACATTAATTGGCTGCCTCCTGCACACACCCTGACTAGAGAGATTGAACCCGCAACCTGGGTATGTGCCCCGACTGGGAATCAACCCCACCATCTTTTGGTGTATGGGACAACACTCCAAACAACTGAGCCACACCAGCCAGGACATTCAACTTAATTTTTATGGAAGCAACGTAAGAATAAAATGAAATAATGATCATTATTACTAATAATTACTATTTCACTAATTTTTATAATATTTAATTAATGACAAGAATAATTGGTATAAAAGAGCTTATGAAGAAGCACAGTTAATTAACTTGGCAAGCACACAGAGAAAGCAAGACTAGTGCACTGGCTACTACCTTTCAGTTCATATGGCTTAGTCTGAATATTTAGTAGAGGGAATGGAGAGTACCTATTAATCCACAGAGTGTTTAAGAGAGTTGCTACTGTATTTTTTGCTCTGTTTTGGCCTTCTGACTCTGTTGTAGAAAATGGCAAACAGACACCAAGAGACCATATCTTGAAATAGTTGCATGGTGTACCAGTAGATCTTGCATTTAGGATTAGGTTGGATCCCTACATAAGTGAGGAGCTGAAAGATTCATCATTGGTTTTTATTGGCATCACTTGGCTTCTTACAGCAGGGCTGAGCAGCATTCTTACAGCTCTTTTATTCTTTTTTTTTTGCATAGAGAATTATTTATTGACTATACGGACTTTTTCACATTGTTAAGGTTAAACTGACATTACAAGTGGTT